TTTATATAATTTATGACATTTTAATAAACTACTATAGATAATATCGATCTTGCGTCAAAAGTAGTTAAAAATTGCATTTTGGGTACTTGACTTCCTATTTAGGATATTTTTTATAATAAATTATTATAAACGATTGTCTATCCCGATACTAGACCCTCCCCATCACGTCAAGGTATATCCATTGGGGGATTATTTTATTATATATAATTTTATATATAATAAAATATATAATTATATAATTTTATAAGAATATAATTATATATAATTTTATAAGAAAGAGCATTAATTTACAAAAAGATACGGAGAATTTCAGTGGGATTTATGATCGCGTTCTTGAAGCTATTTAATATATTATATTGTCATATGTTACATATTTATTTATTTATTTGACTTTGTATTGACGTTTTAAAAATTGCGAAAGACACAGTACTCTGGTTTTCTATTTTCTCAACGCGTTAGTGACTAAGTTTTCTGCTAACAGTCAACATCTATTTTTTCGTGCTCACTTCTGTCAGTTATACATTGTTCATCAAAACAATGGTTAATTTTGTCGGGGGTTTGCTGTAAATTTGATTTATTGTATTAATCTGGTACGTAAACATATATATTTTTGTAAATTTATAATTATTTCTATGATTAAGCGCATTAAGAGTATATTTATATGTATATAATTGTTCATAGATTACTTGAAAAGGGCTGCAATGACAGCCGAAACGTTGTAATTTAACTAATTTTTTAAATAAATTATTGCCAGTCTGGTCGACTTTAAATTGGAGGAGAGATTTTTATTATTTATTACTGGCGACTCTTAAGGATTATCATTTATAATTTTATATAATATTTAATACGTAATATGGATATACTATAACATATATGGAATCGTAAAATCGAAAGATTAGAATAAAGAAGAATCATGATAGGAATTGTTGGGTTAATAATTCATTTATGCTCGCATTATATCAAAACTTATATTAACAGATAAAATATATATTCAACTCCAAGCATTATTAAATAAATTATTCGCCAAAATCTAAAATTGAAGTATCAAAGTTGAAATAATAATTTATTATATTATTCTATATTATTTTTATACATTACATCATTTATTAGTATACATTATTTTTTAATTAATTAATTTTTTTATTTTAAATTTAGAATTGTTTGTAAATGGAAGTAGGGTTAATATTAAAGTTCAAAATATTATAGTACATATATTATTTATTTTATTTTTTGTTGTAAAAAAACAAAATGGTGCGCGTAAAGCTCGCACGTGTTGTTTTAGTGTCTTAAAATGATGTTTCCTCCGGAATGCACACACACACACATATATATATTATATATATGTATATAATTCATAAATTGTAGTCTATAAGAAATCTCGTTCGGTGCTAGAAAGCCGACTTTACAGTTTATTATAAATTTTTATGATCAAATTCGAAATATATTCATAGATGCAAAAACGATGTTTAGAGTGCCTGATAATGCGGCGTTATATGCAAAAGCACTATCGCAACGCAAAAAAAAAAAAAAACAATATAAGTCGGAAAATTAGAATATATGTATATTTTGCTAACTCTTTTCTACAGTATTGTAAAATAGCGTTACAGTTAATTTCAGTTTAACGTAAAAAGTTTCAAGAAACATAAAATTTTTATATCGAATTTTAAAATAAATAATGTGCACAAATATGTAAATTTTTATTAATGTGGTCGATAATTTTGATGTATATCTTTGCGAGCGTAATTTCTTGTTATATTTTTATAAAATTTTCTTTTTACGGATCTTTTATTTCGAATAAGATATGTTATCTTTTTGATTGGATGTTAAATCGATAACAATCGACATGCAGCATGTTTAATTAAATTCTTATCTTTGTTTTCCTTCGCGTAATATCAGCAAAGTACTCAGTACGTGTGTGAGTAAGATATTCATTGCATAAATCTACATATGAAATAGGTTTTATTCCTATTTGTTTCGAATACTTGTAAGAAAACAGTAGAACAAGCGATTTCTGGCCAGCCCTGTTCGCTTTTATTGCGAAGAGACATTAGGTCAGTAATATAATAGCGAAAGATAGAATCACTCTTAATATTCATTTATATTTCCTGCTGGGAATGGATAAAATATTCCCCGTTTCGAATATATAATGGATTATCTGAATGACCGATATCTTTAGACATCGAAAATCGATAGTGCTAACTAATGGCGTTTCCATAATTGAAACTGTTCTCTGACTGTTCCGCGTTCAAAGTAATATCATAGAAACCACTTAGTCCGCTCGGACTTAGTCCTTCTCGGTTATATGGGTCATGAATATTCTCACTCGGATAGTCATTGTTATTACACCTGATTTCACTTACAATTGGCCCGTTGCTCATGTCGCGTGCGCATACGGACTGACAATGTATCGCGCGGAGCCTTTTGTCGCCAGTCACAATAGGATGTTACAATCAATGCAGACAAAATGTCCGCCCCACTGACCAGAGTTGTAGCGCAGAACCAGTTAACGAAGCTTAAGTAATATCAATGCGCTTTAATTAGCCACATCTCTCGTAAGCGCTCAGCATACATGCATGCCAATTATCCGTATGAGCTATTTGCTTTTTCAGCACTGTTACCAATTGTTTCAATATTTAGCTTCTCTTTCAAAAAACAAATCTTTCAGATACTGAAACTTTCACCAACATCAAGGCGCACTAATTGGAAAAGTTATATAATTTTGTAATATAATATATATAATTTATTTTATAACTGAGAGATTATTACCTATATCGCATTTTAATAATATAATTAATTCAATATACATATAAATTAATATTAAAGATAAGTAAATATTCGCGAATTACAATATTTAAAAGAATTTAATTAGATTTATTAATTATACAACAGATTTCGATTGAATTAATAATGCGATAAAAGAACAGGTATATACCGTAAGGAAGTAAGCAAAAAGAAAATTAATTCATTTTATCGTCACGAAATATAACTAAAGTTGTTATAAGATAACGGAATAAATTCTCTCTGCTTCTTGCATTTGAAATTAGTGATTATTAATTAACGATTGATATATTACTACTTTTTATTATTTTAATACGTTTAATTTAATTACTTTAATTGATTTTACAATTTTGTATTTTATAACACAAACTCATCGTCGATGTTTATTATTGTAAATATGTGGGGCAAGAAAATAAATGACGAGCATGTGGCGCACGGTTTTTAATATTATTTTCTTAAATATTATACATATTTGCAAACTGAAACAACTGCAAATAAATAGATTTGATTATTATCAATAAAGTTAAAAAGATCGCTTTATTAAGTATTTAATTTGAATACGTTATTTATAAATTTTTCTAAATTCTCTCTAAACTTGTTAATTAATAAAATTGTCCAAAGCGTCAAGCAAACTGAGTATAATTAGTAATTTCTGATTGTGGCCTCATATGCGACGAACTCATGTTGGTACCGCAAATATTCAATCTGAACACTCTGTCGATCGAAACTGATGCATAATCCATTGCAGTTGCTCGGAGAAACCCGCCATCGTTATCGCATTCTAATGCGTCATGAGTATAATTAACGCTTCTATTTTACATCATCACCTCAAATTTTAATTAATTAACGGATTGGTTTTGTAAGCTGTTTCCAAAACCGGGGTATAAGCCGCAAACGAAAATTAGTTGATGCACCCGTTACGCACGAAAGAGGTGCTTTAATTTTATTAATTTATTAATTTATTTTGCGCAAAATGTGGATTCAGAGAGCTTTATATTGTCCCGACAAATACAAAGAAAGTGACTGTAAATAAAATTTGAAAAAACTAAGTTAACGCTACTCAATGTAATTAAATTTATTCGCGTTTTAATAAACAGAAAAAATTAATAGGAAAAACTTGTAACTTCTCTCCGCTTTAATTAAACTTATATTTATGAAAACACACGAAAATAAATATATATAAAACGTATACTCTTTCATATTTAGTTATAATTTTCCAGCTGAATTAGTTTATATATATATATATATATATATATATATATATATATACTATACAGGATCCTTAATATCGTTTTTCTTTCTAAAATGTTTGTAAATTTAAAATAAAATAATTTATCTTATTTACTTTGTGCATATACATACTAAAAGATAAAATTGCACGCATGACCGAAGTTAATGTGCAGTATCTATCTCTCGTTATATGTTATGAAAAGATGATTGGATATATTTTTCGTCTCGTTTCTTGAAAACGCGAATGCTTGTGGTATAAGAGAAAGAACATTTGCGTGGATGCGCTTTGCCAAACACGCTTCGTGAATAGATAAAAACGACCCGAGAATTTTCTTTGAGAATGTAAAGCGAGGTCCCCTCAGGAAAGACCTCGCTTCTGCGTGTTTCTCTCGTGGAATGTTGTCGGATACAAACGAGCAGACCCGGATAGAGGAAGCCGCTCGTAATGCACGCAACGTACGTTGTGCACATTCTAGCCTTTAAATAGTCATGTGAACTCTTTCACAAACCTGTAAATACTTATTTTTTTCCTTTCTCTACAACTCTTATTTTCCACACGAAGGAACAAAGATTGCATTTTTTTATTTGTCACTTCATGTTTTTCTCACGCCTTAGATACGCGAAATCATGTTGAATTTAGTGTTAAATTTATCCTCCGAGTATATATATATCTATACATCTAAAAACTGTCATGGAAGACCGCACACAAAATATATATACGGCCGGTGTTTGTGTTGCAGTAGTTTTGATTTACATGAGTTTCGCCACGTAGCTAAATGAAATCTTGATAAGGATTTGCATAGTTAATACTTCCGTATAAGAGAGCTATCGCGCAAATAAAATCCGCGGATGAAACAAATAATCCTATCGTATAGAATAAAAGCAGTTTGAAGTTTGAATAATGGCGGAATCGTGCTTTTTGCCGGCAATCCTCTCGTCATCCCTTCTACATCGGAGAGATAACTGAATTTTTCATCGTTCTTCTGTTACAGCATTGTTTCGCCATATCCTACAGAAGGGAGAACCAACGGCAATACGAGCTAAAAGCGGCCACAGAGACGGACTGCAAAACATGGATCGATGCAATACGAGAAGCTAGGTAACGAAGGTTCGCGGCCGAATCGAAGATTGGGCCGATTAAAACGACGCACGCGTCGCCCTGATTTATGGAAATTGCGAACTGCTCAAGCCTCGTAAATCGCCGTACGATTATTTCAATGACCGGGTGTGTAACAAGCCGCGTTTAAATTTCAAGCTCCAATTAAATTCGTCGCCGAATCTCTGCCACGCGACCGCTGATTACTTTTATATTCGCGAAAATCCGCGGAAAAACTTCACCACTGCACCACTGGCTTTTACAACGCGATAGTTACACACGCGAATTGACATCGACGTATACCTGAACATTCCGTGTGTTCCCCTTTCTCTCGTTAAATCTTTTTTTAGATTCAAATAAACTACACACGTGGCATAGAAAATATTCGATATTCGTTATCTATTTTCGAGCCGGCGCGAATTGAAATATCCTTGATAAAAATATGCACGATATAAAAGCATTGTGTATTTGATTAAATTATAAATGATTTGTACTTAATTTTCTGGTATATATTACATAACGAGAAAAAATTTTTCATTAATCCAGCCTATATATAAGAGCGAATGTACTTTCACGAGTTTTTGTCTCTCAGTTTCACATATATATTTTTAATAGCTGTAATAAATTGTAGTCTTGAATCACGTGGTCGATTAATACGCGTTTATTTTATGGAACAAAAAGAAAAATGTACTTTCTTAAATTATTATAAATCAGTGAAAATGTCACTCATTAAGGCACTAACAAGATTCACCTAAAATCAGTAAGTATTGGGTTGACGGAGGACTAAAGCGTGACTATTTTCACTGATTTGCTTTTAGTGAAAACAGTCACGCTTTGCACTTCCATCTTATGTTTCACTGATTGACTCAATATTTTTTATATAATTAGCATTCAAATTTTAAATTATATACATATATATACACACTTCTTTAATTTTTAAGATGTCATATAAATTCATAAAGAATGAACAAGATTCTTAATTAAATTCAGATATTTCCTCAATCTCTTATATATATACATATATTACTAAAAATTTCTCTGAAAAATAATATAATGACAAGATATATTTTAAAATATCATAACTTGAAATAGATTTTATCGTTTGCAGCATACTTATAATTAAAACATTGCTAATAATAATACACTGATTTCATTTAAGTGAGTACAAGATAGGAATAACTCTGCAATGTATAATACAATTTGTGGCGCAATAATTAACTTTGTTTCTTAACATAACTCTATTTTAACCATACTTTACTGTAGACCTACACTTCGTCCATTATTCAGGAGAATTCTCTTAATCTCGTTGATGCGCTGATAAATACGTTTACGGACATCACATTAACATTGGATCGTTTCAGCTACTATCTCTCTATTAATCCCAGTCTTGTAATTTGCTTACATTAACGCCGAAATAATCTTCATCCTGCTATGAAACATGCTTTAAGAGACAGAAATAAACTGTAATAGCTGATTGCGGGGAAACAAATTTATTTCACCTTAATTGATACACGTTAATAATTAATATTAATTAAGAAAGATACAATCTGTTTAAAAAAAGCAATAAATTCCACAAAAATATAAAAACACTGTTATTTGAAAAAATTTCTATCTTTATTTTTCTTCTTTTTTCATAAAACAAAAAACTTTTCCCGCTGACAGTTTTGCAGTTATTTCACCTTTGCTTAGAGAAATGTGCATAGGTTACAAACAAGCCCATTTTTGCCGGTAATTTTTGTCGCAGGTGTTTCTCATGAAGAACGTGATCGTTCCATTGATGCTCGCAGATGCATCAAATGTCTCATCGTTGTGCTCCGCACGTGATAATATTACGCAAGAAAAAATGATCGCTGTTTTTACGTGACTCTCGAATTACTCTCGAATTCCTATCTATTATCAAATTAAATTTATACTTCATTCTTCATGTCCTTTCCGAATACCTTTCAGCTTTTTATTTTAATTGCTTTAATTGAAATTCGAAGAATTCTTTTTAATTTAATGAACAAGTTTTTAATTAATTAATTTATTATAGGATTTAAAAAAAAATTATTAGATGTTATTATATTACACTATTTTTCAATTAAAATTTACAAATTTCTGACAAAAATCAAATTCAAATTATTTATTTCACTTTAAATATTATCATGATATAAAACATCGCAGACAATATGTTTACATGAAGATTGTTTCGTCTCTTGAATTATTTCACGATATAAAAGAAACTATATATTCTCTCTACGATCTTCATTTTACGAGCTGGTTTATACATGTTCGCGGAAATATCTTCTCAGATTACTGTAACGTAAATTGCATAGATAATGATATCCGTGTTACTTCAGCAATTTTGCTGTATATTTGAAAATATAAGGTTGATACTTCTTCGAGTATCTCTCCTGTCACACAGAAAGGTCGATCGATAGCCATGATAACTTCTTCATGCAGCGTGGACCACGCTCGAGATTGCTTGTTTTGTGTAAACTCAAGCAGAGCTTCTCCAACACATTGCGAACTATGAATAAGTTTGTGCTATATTCTTACACGGCTTGTAGATTTACATGTACTGTTGATAAAATAATATTTAATTAAAATTTGAATCGGAGAGCATAAATATTAAGGTCTAAATTTTAAAAAAGAAATGATTGCAAAACCTATATTTTTATTGTATATAATATATGTATATGTAAAAAGAAATTGTACAAAATGTTCTCAAAAATGAAGTAATATACATTATAGATTAGAACATAGATTAGAATATAGATAACATTTTTTATATCATTGAATTCTAAATTTTTAGTAGTAATATCTTTAACATGAAAAATATATACCTGGTATATCAGCTTTCGTGATGTATCTTCTTGGAGAAGAGATATATGCCTTATTCCTTGCTTCGGATTTCATTACTCGTATCACTTTACTTTCGAAGTGATACGAATACTCGACTGAATAAAAATCCTGCACCCCCTTTTTAGTGAAAATTATGCTGACGTAGATGTAATATATGATGATAAGTTATACGAGTTAAGAAAAGAGAAATTTTAATGAAATTCGCACCAATCATCTGTTTGACGTAATAAAGTTTAGTAAAGATTTATTTGTTACAAGTTTAACTTTTTTAAAGAGAAAGGAAAATATTTGTGAAGGTATAAGCGTTATATATTTCTATATTCAATTTATATATTGAAATCTTTTAATGATTTAAAAATGTACTTTTTTCAAAGAAAAAGTTTAAAAAAATATAAAAAATATAGAATCATACTGTATAAACATGTATATTTTTGTTATTTTAGACCGTATAAAAAATATTTGAAAATTGCAATATTCTCGTTTTCAGTCGCTTCGTGACTACAAAAAAAGTCGTAATTTCGTTTCCGTGCAAAATTTCCGGAATGTGCACTTTATGCATTTTTCCAGGCCATGTACGATATGTAGCGCTTTATTTTTCTTTGTACAACGACGGGGCTGAGCTTAAATAACACTTTCAACCGTGACATACACGGAAATACAAACGCGCCGAATCGCTAACATGGTTTTCTTTTTCTTGGATATTGATTCTAGCTTCAACAAATTGTTGCTGCAAAAAGAGGAGCTTGAACAGAAGCACCTGCACCTGTTGCAAATTGTCGAGAGCGAGAAAACGGCTAAGTGGCAGTATACTCAGCAATGCGAAGAATTGGCATCGGAAATAAAAAAACTGCGAGCTGAGGTCAGTCATATTAGTCATATCTGTACTATTGTATATATTTGTGTGATGATATTTTTCGCTGATAATTTTAAATCCACTTATTTTTATTTCATTCACTGGTTACATTCTATTACTACTTCATAACGAGTAGATCAATTTTCTGAAAATCTTTTAATTGTCGGAAACATATACGAAACACTTTCATGTTCTAATAATTCGTATTTTAAAGTTTTATAATGTGTGTTGATAAAACTTTCGTATTATTTACTCAAAAAATAAGTAACTGAAGAATAATTTTAATATTCCTCACATGCAGCTTATACTATGCTTTTTAAAACACTTTTTCCCTATATAAAATCTTCTGGAAATTAATAGAATTGCTTTTCATATTTCTGATTTGTCAGTTTTAATTTGTACTGACCTGATAATAAATATCGAAATACATTCAAGCGCATAAAAAAATTAAAATGTTATTGAAATTTTTATTTTAATTGGTGGAATGTTATTGGTTTCCAATCCTGTTATTAATTTTTCTAACATTTTAGTTTAATAATTAAAGTAATTATAATGTCTTAAAATTAGTTAAATTATCACTTTGTAAAAAATGTGGAAAAAATATTTGATACAAGTGTTCGTTCAATATTTAATCCAAGCTTTATTGAACTTTATCGCAGCTTGGTTTTCTCAAGAAATACAGAAAGATGTTTGTTCAGGATTATTTCCTCCATATGAGATTACGGATTTCGTTATGGTTATCGTTTCAGCTGTGCGCCATCAAAAAGGAACTGAGACCATCCATAGCGCCAGCATATCGTGCTCGACCGGCGGTTCAAAGAGCCATGTCTCAAGGTACCGGAAGTTTATACAGTGAAATTCAATCTTTCGGCGTTGTTCACGACCCCGCCGGATTTCCAATGGCAGATGCGCCCGGATTACATGGTATCTCAGAGGGTTCTGTTGAAATGCAGAAAATCAAGAAAGTGCAAAGCTTCTTCAGGGGCTGGCTGTGCCGTCGACGTTGGAAACAGATTGTTGAACAATATATCAAAAGTCCGCATGCCGAAAGCATGCGCAAGCGAAACAGGTATATATATATATATATATATATATATATATATATATATATATGTAATTATCGCAATAACGTCCAACTTGTTCACAGGCTTCATTTTCCGATTAATGGTTTGTCATGTTTTTACGAATTTCATTACGCGAATTGAATTTCGCGGAACTGTACGCATGGCAATAACAAAGCGTGGAAATGAAAAGCAATATCGACAATTTCAAAGACATTTTAAACGACATAATTATTTTACGAGATAGAATTATGTGATTTGTCTGTTATATAATTTCGGGAAATATATTTTGTTTGTATAGAATTTTCGATTGTTCACTCCTGTCGTCAAAAGACTTTATTTTAATCGGGACGACCGGCATTCCTTTCATTCACAGCATAATAACGACATAATCACTAGTTATTGGTTTCATTTCATTTGTACTCTGCAACTGATATATATAGAATATATATATATGGTATTATATCATATTTCAGTCTGGTATTTCAAATGGTGGAGGTTGAGGAGGAGTACACAGAGCAGATGGAGGTTTTAGTAAGCTGTTTTCTGAGGCCTTTCAAGATGGCTGCCAGTTCAAAGAAACCCCCATGTAGTCACGAGGACGTGAATAGCATATTTTTGAATAGCGAGACCGTGCTGTTTCTTCATCAGATCTTCCTGAAGGGTCTCACTTCTCGTATGGAGAGCTGGCCCACTTTAGTTTTAGGTATGAATTTAAATATGAATCCATATATATATATATATATATATATATATATATATAGTTAACGAGTGGTCTGTGTTTCTATAATATATTAAGCAATTCAAACAGAAAATAAAAATTCGTGATTTTCAATTTTTAGCTTTTTTTCTTTTTATTTTTGCAATATTAATTTATACCAGTATATTGTTGCATCAGTATTTTGTTAAGAGAATGCAACATTGTAAATGAGATGGCACACACTGATCTATCACGATATATCTTACACAGGTGACTTGTTCGACATGCTGCTACCGATGTTATCGATATATCAAGAGTACGTGCGTAATCACCACTATAGCCTTCAAGTGTTGACTGAGTGCAAGCAATCGTCACCCTCGTTCGTAGCATTGCTCAATAGGTTGGAGAACAAGACTGCCTGCCACGGACACTCCCTGGAGACCTATCTAACGTATCCTATGCATCAGGTAACATTTCTATAAAATTTCCATGTAAGAATACAATTTTCCTATATTCCGGGTAGAGAAAGAATTATATAAACATTCCTAAAAATCTAACATTGTATTACACTGCTGAGGAAGAAAGAGGAAAAGTATCGCTATTTAATTGTTTTATGCCACGTTCATTTTTTTGCGTTGTTATTCCCCTGAGAAATCAAATTTTTACAAAAAAAAACTATAAAAAATGAAGAGATTATCTCAGTGATACGAATACCTCTTCAGGATCGATCGATTATATGAAATAGTTTGAGAGCTTCCATGAATATTGCATGAGGTCTGACGAGCTCGTAAAATAATAGGTTTCGATAGTGCAGAAAATATTCCATCGCGCCTTTCCGAAAATTCCGCATAACGCAGGAATTTCTTTCAGACTTTGATCGGAATAGAATACAATTTACGGCTACTTTAAATATATACGTAATGCGCATATGAGAATATTGTTATCACTGTAATCTAAATATTATATTTTACGCCGATAGTGAATTTTTAATTTCTATATTTTTCTGTGTCTCCCTCTCTCTTTCTTTTTCAGAAAATTGATAAAAATTGGTTTGACTTTTAAATGATGACTATACTCTCTCCTAACTATTTTCTTTCTCTTTTTTGGATTTTAGTGGAACTTAAGCAGAAGTTCCTTAATCCAGCTACTTACTTTGCTTGTTTAGATTCCAAGATATATAATTACTTTGCACGAGTTATTGGCGCACACGCCATATGATCACGTGGAACGTAAGAGCCTCCAGAATGCCAGGCAACAGCTGGAGGATCTCTCGAGACAAATGCATGACGAGGTATTTGTCAATAGATTCTATATTAACATTGTCAGAAGACAATATTAGCTATATTAGCATTTGACAGAAATCTTAATTTTATTATTAATTAAATGTATCTCGTCTCTTTTTGTTAGGTCAGCGAAACCGAAAATTTGAGGAAAAATCTGGCTGTGGAGCGAATGATCATCGAAGGATGCGATATTTTGCTGGACGTCAATCAAGTCTTCGTACGACAAGGCAAGTGCATTAATATTTTTTCTCCTTTATAAAAATTTATGTTTCAAAGACCTTTTTTAAAATAAAACTCATCTTAAGTTTTAAATTTTATTTAATTCATATATAGAGTCAAGCACAGTAAGTTTATTGAAAATAATCGAATCAATTTTATCTTTGTTCTATTTATCATAGAATACAATAAATTGTATTCAATGTCACAATAGAGAAAAATTGCTTTTATTTAAATATTATTTTTATATTATAAAAAAATAAGGTATCATAGATAGAAAAGTTTAATGTATCTTGTAGAAGTTGATAAAATTGAGACTGCTAGATAACTCACGCACGTTGAACGGCTTATCTTTGGCTGGGAAGCTCGAATCTAGACTTGATCGCTGTCGGTAAACCTTGTCGCCTTGCTATCGTTAAGAGTGCGGGAGGGCAAAGCGGAAACGCAGGTTAAAGAGCGCAAACGCGTGGTTGCATTTTCGGAATCGATGACGCGACTTGGTGGCGTCGACATATTTTCGCACTCGGTTTCGCCTCGATCCTGCGCAATATGTTCTGCCAGGGCCGACGTACTGTTATACTACTGTCGGAATTTCGTTTGAGCAAACGTCCTTCATTAATTGTACGACTGGATAACAAACGATAGCAAAATATCATGCAGTTTCAGCTATTTCAAATTTGATCGGGATAAAGTCGCTCTTCTGACAATTGCAATTTAAAATATTGAAAAACAATCACAGTTTGATATAAAAAATTCTTTAAAAAAATACAAAAATACTCGATAATAAGTAGAATTAAAACAAAACTCAAATCTGAGAATTGTTTATACCGTGTGATTAGAATTATTGTTAAAAAAAAATATTTAAAAAATAAAAAAATGTAAATATAAATTTAACATATATAAGATAGGCAATAAGAGCCAAATCGCGGATGACAGTGCGTTATTCTAAACGAAACTAAATTTTTTTCGTTAGAATTAAATACCTGTGCACAAGGCACCAAATTTTTACTTGGACCCGGCCAAGATATAAAATTGGAATAATCTCTACAAGAGATTTTTAATTCCATGTATCCCTATTCCCCCTAAAGAAATAAAGTGCGAGAGAAAAATATAGATCCGAAAGTCGCAGAATCGGGAAACGAACCCGAGACCTTTCGCTTGCCGGGCGACTGCTCTTCCAACTGAGCTATTCAGATCCTTTCGATTCTATACTTTTCTCTGTTATATATATTAATGTTGGTAAATAAACGCCTTTAAGCCAGCGTGTATAAATTAAGAGTTTAACTAGGCTCTGTAATATAAATATAAATTTAACATATATAAGATAGGCAATAAGAGCCAAATCGCGGATGACAGTGCGTTATTCTAAACGAAACTAAATTTTTTTCGTTAGAATTAAATACCTGTGCACAAGGCACCAAATTTTTACTTGGACACGGCCAAGATATAAAATTGGAATAATCTCTACAAGAGATTTTTAGGGGGAATAGGGGGAATAGGGATACATGGAATTAAAAATCTCTTGTAGAGATTATTCCAATTTTATATCTTGGCCGTGTCCAAGTAAAAATTTGGTGCCTTGTGCACAGGTATTTAATTCTAACGAAAAAATTTAGTTTCGTTTAGAATAACGCACTGTCATCCGCGATTTGGCTCTTATTGCCTATCTTATATATGTTAAATTTATATTTATATTACAGAGCCTAGTTAAACTCTTAAAAAAATGTAAGTTTAAATGAATAGAACATGATATTGACAGTATACGATATACTTTTCTTAAAAACAAAAGACGAAGTAACGCAAGATTATTTTAAATAGTAAAAGTCTCATATAAATCAGACGGGTAAACAGCTCGACACGGCCCTGGCGCCCCTCGTGCTTGACGCCGCATCACATGGTTATCACGTAAACGTCTCTCGATCGCCAGCAGCAGAGTAGTCCCTCCCGCGAACGTAATCATCCCTTTCGGCCTTTCGTCGTGGCGACTAATCGGCCATCGCGCGACACCACGCTCCGTTCGAGGGCAATGAGCTAGGATTTCGTTCGGGATTTACCTGCGATGCGGGGGATGTTAAGCGGTTCGGCGGGACTGGGGGTCGACGAACGGACGAAAACAAGTGGCGGCCAATCCAAGCCGTTGCCATTTTGTCGATTCATCAATCCGGCGCATCGCGACGTGCGTGAGGATCACGGGTGTTTTGCGACGTGTTGCGCGAGTTCGATAATGTAGTTTCGATAGTGAGCAAGGAGGGACCAAGCAGTGTATGTGACGCTGGTACCAGGGACCAAGGGTAATCAGGAATATAAGAATAGCATTTTGCCTAACAATAAGTGCACATAGACACCGGCAAAGGATCATCAAATCGACTGTTAAAATAAGGTATGCGCGTGGCTTATCCCGTTCCTGGCGATATAGTGGCTCTGCACACGATCAAAACCGACTATATTGATTAGACAACCGTAAAATTGCTTTTCTCGAAAAATATCATGTACTTTGATTTATCTGTAGAATTATGAATATGTGGTATTTTAAAACAATAATTAAAAGCGAGGATGTTGTATAGATCTTAGGATCTGATCTCGATTATACCGATTTCACAATCCGTAGATAGATATCTTTCACTGCAGTGAAAAAAACTATATAGGGTCAGACAGCTTTTAAAATTATAAGGGTTTTAAAAAATGAATGTTACAGATGTAACAGTTCAGATTTCAGAGATGTTTAATTAATGATACAATAATTAATTGATGAAGGACATATATTTATATATAAATAATATAAAAAGATACATACAGGTATACGAAATCTTGATTATTGTATTTAATTAGGCATTTGAAATAAACTGTTATGTGTTTGTAATATTAATTTTTTTAAACCTTTATAATATCAAAAGCTGTCTGGCCTTATATGGTTTTTTTCACTTTAGTGAGAAACAAAACGATATCCATCTACAGATTGAAATCGGAATTGGGATCAGATCTCGACTTCGAAAATCTGCTTATATTTATAGCATCGAGAACTAAAAATGACGAGAAACGCTGATTTTAGCCTTTGTGGCAACGTCATTAATAACCTTGATGCTGCGGGCACAATATTGCGAATTTCGCATTCATCGCAGCAACACGTTCGCCGTGCTATTTTTAAACGCACGTCGGTGGCCTCCCCTAATTGTATCGATTATTTTGAGAAAGCGCGCGGGTCACCGGTATCAAAGCTGTCACGCGAGAGAAATGTAACTATTTTTATCGGCACGGCCGGTTGTTTCTTCGGGTTTCTTCGACGACATCAATAATAATCGCGAGCCGCATATTGAATCGCATGAATTTGATATATCGGCGTGTTTCAGGTTCGCTCGTACAACTCATAGACAAACCGCGCGATGCGCGAAGCAGATTAAGTGCTACTTTCGGCGGCAAATCCTCTGGCGACAAGGAAGTGCCTAGACAGTGCTTTCTCTTCTCGAATCATTTGCTGCTCACGACGCGTCAATCCGATGATGACGGCCGCTTAAATCTCGTCCCGCAGACTGGCAAGATACCTCTTTCCGATGCGGTGCTGATTGAAGATCCGAGCGAAGGTGCTGCAGATGACGATGGTGATTATTGATTTAATTAATGACCTGTTTCATTAACTTCCTTCAAGGTCTTTTCAAATTGTCAATGCACAAATGTTTTGTGCAATTCAAAATTAATGTCAATAAAAAAAATTACAAAAACTAAAAGAGAGATGTACACAGAATTTGTTCATATAACTTCATAGGGCAAACGATCTTTCTTTGTTTGACGTACTATTGCAATCTATTGCAATTTAAATGGTCTTTTATTATAAACTGTTGTCTGCGTGTTACGGAAAGGATTGTGAGAGTTTTATCGCGAGTCACGTCTTACTCAATTTATTCAGTGCTACTGGAGTAGCGAGCGTCAACTGATTTTAGGATTGTCAGTATGTTCGATGTCAAGCGGCATTCGCGAGAGCAGCGGAAGCGGCAGCGGTAGCGCGACTTCCCAATTGCAGAATCGCGACTTCAAGATTTTACTCGATGTAAAATCTGGTGGACCGCAGGTGACCGTTCATCTCGTGGCGCCTACTATGCAGGTAAATGTACATCTATCGAAAAAACTGCAAAAAAAAAATTAAAAATTATTTTGTCAAACGTTCTCTCGATCTTTTTGGCTATCATATAAGTGTTACATGATATATCGGCATGATGAAAAACAACTTCTTATAGGAAAAAGCAGCGTGGGTCAGCGATATTAGCCAGTGCATGGACAACGTTCGCTTTAACGATCTGCTCCACGGATCGTTATCGGACACCAGTTCCGTCACGATGCCGCAGTCCATCCGGAACGACCCGAAACTGTTCAAGGACGACGTGGACATCAGGTTCAGTCGTACTTTGAACTCTTGCAAGATACCGCAGATCCGTTCCGCGACGCCAGAACGTCTATTGCAGCGATTGACCGACCTCAGGTTCCTCAGTATCGATTTTCTCAACACATTCCTGCTGACGTACCGAGTGTTCACCGATGGCGTCACAGTACTAGAGGCCCTTAAGAAAGTTTTTTACGAAGCTGAGCCACCTGACGCGCAAATGCCCACTGGATCCCTCATGTAAATATGATGAATTGAGAAAAATTGTTGATTTAAAATTAATTTAGCTCTGCAACTGCAGTTCTTTCATGATTATTATCATTATTAATTGGAATTGTTTCCTAAAAAATATTTTTGCTACCAATTATTTTTGACGTTTTTATGTACATCATGTTTTATATTTATACTCTAGGTCTCTAGATGTATTAGGAGCAAATGCTAGCGAAATGCAATTGCACTCAGAAGAACGAAGAAGAAGTAGCTTTTCACCGAGACGAACTAGCGGTGCAAGTTCTGTATCAGGTGCATTGCTTTGTTAACAAAATTCAGTCAACAATTGATAATATATTAAAAGCACAATTTAAACTAGTTGCAATTTTCCAAATAATAATAGCATCTTATATTTTATATATACACAGGATACGGATCGGAAGTAAGCGATAGTCGTGACGCGAGGTCTCATGGCTCCTTTGACGCTAATATGAGTGGACATAATTCAAAGAGTCACTGGCGATCTGGTTACAAAAAGTGTAAGTATTTTCAGTCACATATCAGGTTTATAGTAAAACATAATAATTTAATTAAAAAATTAAATTATGGAATAAAACCACCAAATAATTTATATAAAAAATGATTGCGTATTGAAATGGGGTTTGGATGAATTTCTCATATTTAGTGGATGAAGAACAAGCTCTCGGATTAATTTCCGAGGCGCCGGTTATAAAACGCAGTCCAACATCGCAAGCATCTAGTCCATCTAGCGCGCAATCTCCGGTCACGCCGCGAAAAGTCAGCATTCGCGTGGATAACAAGGATTCTGAAAACGACGGATGTCATCTGACGATACCGAAAGTAATAGCCGTGTCATCCAGCTCTGAAACACTTACAGGTATAGCTAAGAATTAATAAATTTATTAATGCTGCTCGCTCAGAATTTATGTATAATACTCGTATATATGTAATATGAGATTACATATTAACATAAAAAGTATGAATCCAAATAAAATACTTAGAGATATAAAGTTTTTGATAACTATAAGAAAAAAATATAAAAATTATACAAAAAATAATATTGAATTTTATACATATATAATATAAAAATATAAGAAATATCATAAAAAATATAAGATGGAATATAAGATGTTACAGTGATTAGTGCACCGTCTTCGCCCAGCAACTTGAGCTCTGTTACGCTAGTTGGTTCGACAGAATCCGGATCCGGATCAGATCCGAGTCCCCAAGAGGCAGGTACATATTCGCGTCGCGTCTCAGAAATCGATACACCTGTCGCAATGGAAGAGGATATAAGAGGTACAACCTCTTGAATTTTACAAAATTGTTGATCATTAGTAAGATTAAGAGACGTTTGTCTCTGTTTTGCTCTCTATTAAAAGATACTTTGATTAAATACGAATCGCGGTTGTAATTCAATTTTACAAGTTATTTAATTAAAATACACGTGATATATAAACATAAATTATAGAAGTACAATTTACTTACGACGACATACCACTACAATCGCAATCAGCCATGTCTGCCAAATTGGATACCCCGACGAAAATGCCTACTTCTCCGCCGAGCAAGGAAACGAAAACGGATAAAGAGGAACAATCTACGCCGAGCGACGACGAAAGTGTAAGCTCCTCTAAACAATCGCAGCAGAGTCAACAATATCCGGAACATAGGGCATCGATCGCTTCCGCTCCACCGTGTACCGGCCCAAGAAGCGGCTCGATCTCCACCATAACTTGCGTATGTGTGATACAAAATTTGTACATTTTTTTCAGAAATTTAATAAATTAAATTTAATAAATATTTCTTGAGCATTAATTATATATATGTTAAATATACGTTAAATTTTCAAAATGGCTCTAATTTTAATTTGTAAAAAAGTAATCGGAACGCTTTTTGCATGTAATTTAATAAACATTTGTAATTTTATGATTGTTTTGCAGAATTATTGGGCGAGCAGGCGATCGATGCACGAGGAAGTTTCTTCGCAGCACAGCAACTTTCAGCACGATGTTCAACAAGTGTCCAGCAAAGCTGGTGTGGTAATAACTAGCTTCCGCCAGAGTCATCGAAGGTTCGTTTTAATATTTTATTATGTACTGTATGCATTTGATCGTGTCTCTTATAATTTAAAGACGTTCGTATATCGATACAAATTATCTCTATTTCGTTTTAGCTGAATGTTGAGTGCCACAGACTTGAGTGGCGACTTCTGCTTTCTAACGCATGAAAGCTTCTTCTCGATATCATGTGTTTCATTTATCAGATTCACAGTTAAATTTATTTTTGGAGAGAGGAATTTAAAAAGAAATAGGAATAGTATATATAACATTTAATATTTTTTTGATAGTCTAATTAGTAAGAGAGATAGCAGATCATATTTTAACATAATTCCTCGCTCTGCAAAAATTTATTTCTCAAAACCCAATCTGAAAATTTCTAGCTATAATAAAATCATATCTATTTGTATGAAAAGAGTTGTAAATATATTGTAAATATGTTAAATTATGTCTGTCTCCTGTAAAAACCAATTTTATAATCTAAAACTCACTTTTATGCAATATATTTTTTTGATAATTTGTAAATATTTTAATGCCTTAATTTATTTTAATTCTTAATAAGTAAAATAATGTGCTAATAATATATTCATAATACAAAAATTACCACCCCATTTTTTCCAAAAAATTATATTCTTATCACCATCTTCAAGATCGAATTAAAACGATCCCTTAAATTAGGAACATATTCCTGCTGTTTCTACTTAACTGTATTTCATGTATTGTTTTGTGTCATTCATAGCATTGGACCTGAACCTATCTGGTAAGTGGGCTCATTTTGAAAGCGTCATTATCCACTTGTTGCGTGTAGCATGGCTATATAATCTTCTGCTTGCTCTTAAAACAAGTCTGAAATGTCCACCTTGTGTTCTGTTCTATTATTATTTCTTATTATCAGAAATCTTTGCTTGAACTTTTAGAGCTATTAATTTCAAAGATCACGTAATCCTCACATGCATCGTTGTTTCCTTACGACTTAATTATTATTTAACATGAAACTGATGAAACTAACGCTCACACAACATCTCATCCGATCTTTGATTGTTTATGTTTATAGAATACATCCCTACAGAGCAAACGAGTGAATGGACCAAACGAAATAGAAATAGTTTTTACCCGATAGCCGCCTTGTGTCACTTGATATACGTGCTTTATAGTGCTAAATATTCCAGAATGGGAATTGATAATTATTTCAGTGAATTTCGATTTCAATGCTATCTCTACATTTTTTTGTAACGTTGAACATGAACGACAACTGATGCATCTTGTTGATGCATTGCATTGCTCAATATCCAATAGCATCGAAATTTGAATTCACTTAAATCTTCAGTTGCAATACCTGTTACCAATACTTTATATAGCGGCACAATAGTGAAAATAGCAAATAAAAAAATCTGACACAACACCGCTGATTTGCCGATAGTAGAATTTTTTTTTTTTACGAATATGCACATTGAATACTTATTATTCGCTTAGATCATTCACGACGTGTATTTTATATGAAACATAATTATAAATATAATTAAAAATGTATACAAAGATATAATGATCGCACGCTATGAACTCTTTCCTCGATTTTTCATCTTAATTTTTTCAACCCAACAGCGTGCTTGAGATGCATCGCGAATGACTTTTAAATTAAATTAAATTAAATTAAATTATTGAGACGAAGAACAATTCGTGAATGAGACTCGCGATATTTATTAATATTCATTATGGTCGCCGATACGTTGCTAAAATTGATCCCAAATTTAGGAGCAGCACGTCTACGGCGGCGACCGCATTCGCCATCGCGACCTCTGCTTCGAGTAATCCACCGGACAAAGGACCCATGACGGACGCGAATCGTAATCGGGACAAAAATAGGAGGAAGGAGTCGGTGATGTCGACCGCCGCGACGATGAGAGTGCTGAACGTCCTGAGACATTGGGTGTCCAAGCATGCTCAGGATTTCGAGATGGATCAGAAATTAAAGAATCTGACCATCGAGTTTTTGGAAGACATTAATTACAGCCCGAATTTGCTGCCGGCTGAACACAAGGCGGCCAGTCAACTGTTGAGATTAATTACCAAGGAAGAACCCGACACTAATAAGATCGATCTGAAGAAGCTGTTAACTCCGCCAGTGGTAAATAATGAGAAATCATGCATCCTTTTTTCTTTCTCCCTTTTTCGTCTAATATTGAATCTAATAATTATATATAATATATATTACATTATATATTCATTATTTGCGAAAAATAGTTTTGAAAAATGTTAAATTTATTAAAAATTTAATCGATTGTAATTTAATGTATCAATAATATGAATTAATTAGGGGGAAATATATGAATATTTTATTACAAATTATTTTCAGATTCAGAGCAAGGAAAGCATCGAGACTTTGTCTGCGCTCGAGATTGCGGAACAGATGACATATCTGGACTATCAAATTTTCGTCTCTATCACCAGCGAGTAAGTAGCAAATTACTCAATTGTATCGCTGCTGTTTCAACACATGATTTAATTTTCAGAGAATTTCTCGGACAAGCGTGGATGAAGACGGACAAAGCAACTCGGGCGCCTCATATCCTTCTTATGACGAAACGATTTAATGAGGTGTCGCAATTAGTCGTTTCCGAGATCATTCGTCGTTCCAACATGTCGTCCAGAGTTGCAGCTATCGAGAAATGGGCCGCAGTTGCAGATATCAACAGGGTTTTGCATAATTATAATGGCGTGCTGCAGATTTGCGCAGCGTTCACGAACAGTAGTGTGTACAGGCTAAAGAAAACCTGGGAGAAAGTTTCCAAAACGGTAAGCTAATATAATAATAAAATAATATGAAAATTTTTGAATAATTATTTCATTTTTCAAACAAGTAAAAGTTTGATAAGTGACTAAACAGATTTTTATATGTCGATGATAAAGATAAAACTAACTGTCACTGCAGTCGGATTATATATCTTAATTATAATAAATTTTCAGACAAAACAGACGATAGACAGATTACAACATATTGTCTCATCTGATGGTCGCTTCAGAAATTTACGGGATGCTTTACGCCGATGCGATCCACCCTGTATCCCTTACTTAGGTCTTTACCTCACTGATCTTTCATTTATCGAAGAAGGTACTCCAAACATTACCGACGATGGTCTTTTGAATTTTTCGAAAATGCGAATGGTAAGTGATATTTCTTTAAATCACTTTTTAAATCCTCGAATTTATTTTCCAATTTTTAAATCTTTTTGAGATTAGAAACAGAAATAAATAGAGAAAAAAAAACAAAATTATTAAATAGAAAGAAGAATCTTAAATTTAAATTTAATTTAATGATGTCAATTATTTTATCTAAATAAATTTTATCTGAATAAAATGACATATTACATGTTTTTTGCAGATCTCTCACGTAATTCGCGAGATACGACATTTCCAACAAACCCCCTACAAGATCGAATTAATCACTAAGGTAACCAACTATCTGTTGGACACATCACTCCTATTGAACGAAAAAGACTTGTATCGCATGTCCTTGGATATCGAACCTAGAACGTCCAGGTTGAGTAGTTCCACTTTAGTCGGTCTGTCTCCTTCGGTCAGCCATTCGTCTACGAAGTGAATTTTGTCTCTCGTAAAGCATTTCAGCTGCATCTTTATTTTCTAATGAACGATCAAGAAATTCTGAAATTTTGAAAGGTTTAACTCTCTCTGTTACGCGAGCAGCCGATCCTTAGAACGATCGCAAATGCGACTCGTCGCGTTTTTCACAGCCCCGTCCATTATTTCTGTCCACTTCCGCTTATGACGTAATGTCCGACGTCCATTTTTGTTCTCATTTGCGTTTCACGTTTCGCAATATATTTGCATAAGCGTTAGATAAGTAAGCTCAACAATGATCTCTCGTCGTCGCACAGAATCGGCCTCTTTATTCGCGGAAGGGAACTTATCGCAATTGTTTGATAGGTATAGCAATTGCTACATAACAAATCTGATTAGATTTTGACGAAATATTCTATGTTACTAGAATTGCTATCTCTTCCATCTCTTTTAATTATTCTAATATTGATTTTTAAAGTTCTTAAGAGAGATGGTCCGGTCTCTCTCTCTCTCTCTCTCTCTCTCTCTCTCTCTCTCTCTCTCTCTCTCTCTGTTGTAATCCAAAATTTCCTATGAGGATATTAAAAAAGAAAATCGTAGATTTTAGTAAGAAGATTTAATAATAATAAAATATAATAGTAATACGAGAGTGTAGAGATTTCAGAAGATTGAATACGGCGGCGTAGCTGTAAAATCTGCTGATGATAACAGTACAAGATTAATAATGAGCGATGAAAGACATTTTCTTATAATTAAACCTAATTATGCTTAATGTTCTCTCTCTCTCTCTCTCTCTCTCTCTCTTTCTCTCTTTCCCCGTGTTGTTGATTCACGAAAAAAAATAATTCAAAGCGCTCAAAAATGTGATCAGTTTGATCTGTCCGCTAAATAACATATTTCAAAAAATATCCGAATTTATACACGTAGAAGCTGGCGTTGACATCGATCAAATTATCTCGGCAGAAGCAAATAGAAAAGCCGTCACAGATTTTAGTTTAACCCAGTTCAATCGAGCCAGTATTATTACGCGAGGCGTACATAAGCAGTTCAAACGAGTACCTTTAAGAAAACAGATGAGAAGCATGAGAGGTGAATGGAGATTGTATTTTGACAATCAATAGCATAAAGATATCGCTGCGTTTTCCGTTTCTAATTCTAATATTGTTGCTACGAGTATCAAAGCAAAAAAACAAACTCGCTTGTCAAGCATCTTGGAAACCAATTTTTCAAACATCGCAACTATTACTATTTTGAGAAAAAAAATATATTTTATTAATTATATTATAATCACATTTTTATTAATCAAAATTTGCATTACCAACGTTCTCTATAATTTTTGATATTTCGATTTTTGTATAAGCACTTCTTATCACTAAAATAATAGATTTATATAAATGCATCTCTATATAAAACTAACAAGAGTTTCCTCTGTTTGCCAAGCGAGGTAAATGTCTCGTATACACAGAGGGGTACACACATATCAACTATATAATATAATTCGAAATCAATGTCTCTCTCGCCCGCCTTTATATTTTTATTCGATATTTATATGTATAGCAAAGTACGACCAGGTAGTTTGGAAAGAAAACTGGCATTCTCTCCGTTAAGGTGCATTAAAAAGAAAAAAGGAGGCGAGGAATCTTAAGCGCAAAAAAATTTATATACATATATTATATATATACACACACATCTCTCTATATTTTTAACTTTACGTTTATTAAGAAACTTTTGGATGCGTTTCTGCATCAGCATACTTGACATTCCCGTCGTGCGAGGTGTATACGATCCTTTTGAAGCCCGAATACGGAAACCATATGTGTATGGTCCGCATGTGATATATATATATATATATATATATATATATATATATATATATATCACATGCGGACCATACACTTTTAATCAAGTGCATGATGAAAGGTTTCCTTCGAAGTGCCGCTCTTCGAAAAGGCGATGAGCAAAATATCCCAACTGCTCGCATTTACATCTCCAATATGCAAGTAGTGCAAATATATTTTAAGGCGACGTGCCATGCGGGTTGATGTTAGAACGCACGTACGGCACGTAAGCAACCAGAAGTTTATTCTCAAAGCATTCATAGTAAACCCTACAGATGCGATATACATGGCGATTGGGTGTCTTATTCATCGAAACGATAAAACTCGATATACCTAATGTCCTTTCGCGACTCCTTGTGTCATTGCCTTTACGCCTGCGCCGCTCGAAGACGACGTGCGACCAATTAATTGTAAATATATCGAACTCCTACCCGCGTTACTCTTGTCAAAAATGATTATCGTTAAAAGTCGATTCGACTATAATCTCCGGGTGTGATCCGCGGATCACGTGTGCATCTTATGCCTCCGGAAAATATATCACTTATGGTTTGCACACTCATCCTCATTTTTCAGTATGTGATACTATTATCTATAGAAACGTAGAATATACGGAAACGAGAGTAATTCTCAATTTGCATAATCGATCGATCTCCTAATAAGAAATTTTAATGAAACATTAAATTAGATTGACTAATGCAATTGATTATTTTAAATTTGACTAAAATTACATTTTTTTTTGTCGCGAGATTCTTTGATTGTTAAGTGGTCTAAGGACGGGTTAAACGTGCAAGTTGCGACTTACTTGCAGAATCTATCAATGATTTAATTGACGCAATTAAACGCATGTTGCGCAAGCGCAACATTAAATGTAACGGCGAAAATTATTTCAGGATCTTGTGTTCATGTGTAGATTCTTTTTGATAACTACAAAGCGTCCAATGAGAAGACAAGTATTATCCCTATTGAAAGTTCAAAGCTATGATAGAAAGGAGTGAAAGATAGAAAAACAGAATTCGCGAATCCGAATATTTGCGGATAATTTTACAATTAGACGGAGCATATCACTGTCACAATCAATATCGTAATTAATTATTAATGCCCTTTAAGATCCAAGTATTTCTGCGTGTGTGTTCGCTCAAGCGGCTATAAATTTCGAGATACTGCATGTGATACTTGCAGATCAATAGCTGATCTCATTCCATGATCATAAAATCGTGTTTAAAATGCATTATGAAAAAATTTGTGCAATTCAAATTATTTCACATAATTATGTAGATATTATTTCGGGACGAGTTTCTTCGATTTTATATGAATATAATTATATAAATTCGAAAAATATTTGACTCTTCACAATTCATCACTCTTTGACAATTCATCGACATGACACCGATATAACGTAACTGTATTTGAAATATTGAAATTTATGCAATTCGTGTTCTCGCGATTTCATTCCGACCGCGCATTGTCGCTATCTTCTCTGTGATTTTAATGCCAGTTCCTCTTACGACTGTGTTGTTGTGTCGTCGCGAACGATTCAAGCCAAGAGTGAGGAACGCAAAAGCCCCTTATATTGAACAAAAAGGCCCGTAAAACGAGAATATATCTATAGTAGTTATACTGGTTCAGTAAAATAAAAAATTAGATGGATGCTAGTGGTTTTTAATATATGAAATATAATAACTAACTATATGTTTTTTATGACATATGTTATATGCGAAAAAAATTGGAAACATTTTTTTCAAATATTTTTAATAGAATAGAATTATTTTATATCAAGAGACAGTTGAATTTCAATGAATTTGTAAAACAAAATTTTAAATTAGATTTCTGTATTAATTTCTATTCTAATTTTATGGAACGTTTGCATAATTTGCAAAATAAATATGGCTTCTAAAATTATTGGCCATTTGAAGAGATTGTCCATTTCTTATCAAAGTCTTGTGCCAATGTGAGGGAAAATTACGCGATAAGAGAGTCGACTGGATCGGCAATCTTTATTAGAACAACTTTAATAGCATTTCCATGTCTTTTTCAGATCATAGTCCGAATTATAGAGATAAAGAACAAATATTAAGATTATGCGAATAGCGCTAGCAGATGCCAATGCAACCAACTCTGAGATGTATAGTATGTTTGAAAGATTTATAAAATTCAGAATACTTCAACGTGTATCCGCGATTGTCGTAAATAATGCTGTAAAGCAGAGTTCTTGAATTTGCATTTCTCTTTTCCTCGTCTTCTACTTGCTCGCTCGCAAGACATCACAAGCTTTGTCGTATAACATGGAAGACTATTTTCTAATTCTAGAGTGTGAATAAAGTTATAGGCTACCGATCGGCTAACATTTTCTACGAATTGTTCCACGAATTATATTCTTGGTCTCATCTTCCAAATATAATTATTATATTCAAATATTATATATATATATATATATATGCAAATATTTATTCTTTTTTTTCAGAATTATTTTGTTTCGTGAAATTTCTCATTTAAATATTTCTTAATGTTATTAAAGTAATTAACAAGCATCCATGTTATTCCAAAAGATTTGCAACGATTTAAAGATAAATTGCTAGTTTAATTTTTAGATTAAATACAAATTTTAGATATAATTGATATTATATATTTATAACTGTAATTACTAATCTGTTATTATGCAGTTACATGACAGATACGTCTTTTTTACGTCATTCTTTTCTTGTCAAAGTGCCAACAAAGTTGTTAATTCCTCTGTTTCGGCGATCGTGCTTCGAGTACCTTCAAGCATTCTGAATGATCTCGTTTGGAGATAAAAATTGTGAATTTCATTAACGCGGTTTTGCACATACACTGTATACATATACATATTGTATATGCCATGTGTTTACGTGGCATACTGTGACACTCACGTGAACGCTATATATAGATATCGATACGTGTCACATACACTTCCTTGTATATAATTCTAGTTACATATTGAACATGCGTTGCACTAGGCAGCCATTATCGTTGTTGATAGATCTCACTATACGGAGAATGATGATTATCGATCGACGCAATTACTATTAATGTAATAAAACGCGCAGATGTAACATTGCATTATCGCGGACATACAAATAAGATATGTCATATTATTGTATCCAGTTAATGACGAGTGGGATATTAAGATCTCCGTTCTCGGAATCAGTGTAAAGATGCGGTACTTACAAGTACCTATCTAGTGTAATTTTGTGCCATTTCATCGCGTTAATGAAGCACATAGCGCGATATTCCTCTTATCTACGACTGTACTTTTAAGCTATCGAGAAATAAGCTATAATCGTAAGACAACAGCTTATCGAAAGAACGTCTCCTTGGAGACTTTTGTTTTGACCGTTGTAAAGATGTAGCAGAATTGACACTCATAATTGTCGACAAATTTGTAGAGTCTACTTAATTTTCCAGCAGGTGCAAATTCTCGAATAATAAAATTTCATTAACCGGCTAATCCGAACAGAATTCTCAAATTCTTCAATTTTACAGTATTCCAGTTTTGCGATTTATAATGCAAAAAGCAACAGCTTGATTCACATTTGATGACAGCTGCTTTGCATGGAAATGCGTTTGTTATATGCATGCAATTACAAAAATTACATTAATAATTGAAGGTATGATTCGGCGTTGAAGATAGAAAACTCTTATAAATTCTGCACGAATATTATAAAGAAGATACGCGAGAAATAAGTCCGAATAAAAAAATCACTTTAAATCTATTAACTCAGAAAAGAAATCTTTATATAATATGTACATTAATCTGAACGTAGAATTAGTCGAGCTATAAGCATTAAAGTAATACGCGGGAAGTATTTATTGTACTTTAGTCACACGATTTATGATGTTTCAACTTCCGTGAATGTAATTGTCGTTAAAACTAGGATATAATCATTACAACTAATTGCGGATACTGTAAAGGACCGTCTTAACCAAAGTTACCT